ATAATTTTTTTCTTGTTTTTCTTTTTATTATTATTATTTAAAAGATACATTATAATAAAAAATAAATAAAAAATAAATCTATATTAATTGCAATACTATACATATTAATATAATTTACTTACCATATTTGATTTGATAATATATTCCCATACTCTACTAAAATCACTTTTAAATTTTTTAAATATAATTTTATTTATGTTTAATATGTATAATATATTTAAATGTTACTTAGACATTCAAAAATAAATCTAGAAAAAAAGTACATAATAATATACTTTATAAAAAAAACTTTTTTTTATCATAAAAAAAAATATTTGATATAACGATATTATACACCAAATATTATATATATTTCTATATAAAATAATGATTAATATTAACTAATATAAGTTCAAAAAGATTAATAAAATTTATTAGATTCATAAAGAATTAAATAATCATTTTTTATAACAATGATAGTTACGATTAGAAATTTATACAGATCGAAAACCAAGTCCGTAAGCGCGCAAGCTGTAAGCTGCAAGGTCTTGTGCGGTATATAAATAGAAACCAGTAGGTCCTGCTGTGAAGTCGAGGAAGGTGGTTGGAATTCTACAGGATGCCTCTACGTAGCTCTTAGAGTGTACCTCAGAGAATCTGCGGGCGTGTCATTGATCCCAATACAGGCGTTCAAGAATCCGAACGAGACTGACTTTATTGAAAAGTTTACGCCCACGTTTATGAGTTCACAAGAGATGCGATCAATTTTAATAGAAGTTCTTGGATAAATTAACTTGATGAAAATAAAAAAAAAAATTCATTGATATTAATATCAAGTTAATCTTTTAAGAATATCTTTTATTACTGTTTTATATATGAAAATAACAAAATACATTAAAAATTATATTTTATAAAAATTAAAGATTGAAACTTATATCTTTAAGCATATTTTTATATATTTTTTATTTTTCTTGTGGCTATAATTGATTCAAAAGAATAGATGTCCTTGTTGATGACCTTCAATGCGATTTAAACATCTTCACGCTTCATCTACAATATCCCAAGGTCTCTGCATTGTAATTCCAGCTAAGAAATTTTAGAGATAATGATGAAGTTGATTAATTTAAATGATTAACTATTGTAAAAACAATAAAATAATTTTTCAGATAAATAGTTTGGATTTAGATTTTTTCTTTTTTAACATATTTTTGTATGTATATTATATTTATATTTTTATAAATAATAATATACATAAACATATATGTAAATATCAAATAATAACAACTATTAAAATGAAAATGGTAAAATTATTTGCATTGACGTGTACATGTAACTGCAAATTAATAGATTAAAAACAAGTTTATCGAAGAGAAGAGAAAAGACGATAGAAATAAAAAAGAAGAAAACTGGACAAAGACAATCCATTAAACATTCAATTCTCAAAACGTCAATTATCAAAACGTCAATCTTAAATAAAATTTTAGATTTTGTAATTGTAGATTGTTGTAAATTTTTTATATCAATGCAATACAAATATAGCATTTAATTTTATTTGTATAATTTTATTTTTCGAAGATTTAATTCTTGTAAAATATATTTTATTGCAATTAATCTGTAAAACCTATTCTACGTTTGAATAAAGTTAAAATTTATTTGAAATTTTTGCATAAAATTCATATATTTTGAAACAAATTCAATTTGATACATTACTTTTTTTTTTTTTAGAAGAAACTAAATCAGAATTGCAAACATTTGTGTATTTTGCTAATTTCAATTTAAGATTGATGGTATGGATCCTTTTAAATTAAAGTTTCAGACATTTGATAAATTTTATAATTAATATTCATGACTTTTCACATTATCGTCATGACTGTTATACGAAGCGTAAGAGGAATCTAGTAGCTTCTCAATATTTGTACGTTAAACAGGCTTCCTTACTCGTTTTCGTCGCGCTAATGTCAATACACCGATAGATATGCAAATATGAATACACCAACGATAAAAAGAATTGTTCGATTCCTTTAGCATCCTTATTAAATACAAAACATTGAATTGTATAGTTTTTTAAATTGCACTACTCTTTGATAACTCTATTCGTATTGTGATTATATTTTTATCGTGAGTAATACAATGTGACGAAGAGTACAAAAACGATGCACTTGTAGTTTGCATCGAAATTAAACAAGCAATATTATACAAGAGACCAACTCATTTCGAAGCTGTGTTGCAGACAGAGCACGTCGATGTGAATAACAGTTAGTGTTCAACATACGCGTAGCACACGTGAAATGCATCAGCGTAAATGTCAGGGTCATCTGCATACATAGTAGACTTTCAAATAATCGTCGATTAAATGCTGATACTTTTATTAAATTAATACACCAAGATATCAAGTTTATAGATAGAATAATATAATAAATATAGAATAATAGTTAATAAATCATGTAAATATTAAAGATTCATAAAAAAAAAAAAACGAATAGCAGAATGATAATTAATTGAATTGATATAAATGTAAAAATTAAAAGATAAAGCAGTTTATTTTAATATGTATAGTTACGAAAGGGAGACTTCGTATGAGTGGCGCCGTGATAAAAAAATGCCCCCAGGCACTACTTTTTTACATCACTGCTGGAGAATTTCCTACCCGCTGGCTGCTCGCCATTACGAATCACAGTACTGGCATAATATCGAACCGTTAAGAGCCAAGAGCGCAACAAAAGAATCCATGGAATCCAAATAAACGTCTTGAAATTATATTGTGCATTTTTTACAATATTTTAGAAGATATTATAAAGAAATATGAATTAGATATAAATAACTTACAAAAAATTATATCCACTGCGATACATTTTACAATTTTTTTCCGACTTTGATACTATAATCTTCTCTTTAATTATATTTCTATGGAAAAGTATCGGCATAACTATTATTTTCAAAATTTTTTAGATTGATTATGTATTATGATATCGTAGATCTATGGTAATGAAAAAACAAGAATGTCAAAAATTTTGATGATCTGAGGTGGATGAAACAAGAAGATTATTCAGTAAAAATAAATTGAAATTATATGCATATATCACGCATATATCATGAAATAGAAAAGCTCTGATATTGTCAGCCCATATACAATGAGAGAAAATTCTAAATAAAAAGATAATTCAAATGAAATGGTAAATGGATTTGCAAAAAGAGATTGTAAAATAGTAAGAATTAAGAAACAATTTTCTATAGAAAGATATCAAAGAACTCCAGTACTTCGTGTTCAGACACGAGAAGCAAAACACATCAGCAGGGAACCAACAGGTTTGACTTGCTGGACTAGTTAATAAATTACCGTAGTCCGCCGCCATCTTCATCTTCAAAGTTGCAAATGAGAATTCGAAATACTGTCAATTGTAAAATAAAATCTTTTGTTACAAATCCAATATTCTATCAAAAGAATAAAATAACTTCTTAATACTTAATAGGAATGCTTATTCCTGAAACGAATATGCGCATCTAATTAATGAATATGCTTAACATTAATTCAATTGACCGTTATCTCAAGCAATTATATATTGGAAATTATTATATTCATATTTTAAAAATTTTAGTCAGAAAAATGATAAACATTGAAATTCTTGTATTGAAAATTCATTCAAATATTATTGTTTCAAAAGATCACACAATTATTACTATGAAGTTACAACTTCTTTGAATCTACGTCTTGTCCAATCTTCCCTCTATCTACACTTTGGAGAACATTATAATGTTTCACAAATTTGAGTTTCATTCTTCAAAAATTGAAAACATAGATATATAATAGTTAAAATTTGGTAAAATCATTATTGCTTTTAAGTTATTATTTTTACATTACATTTTAATATTTAACATGTTTAATATATTATATATGTATTATGTTACATATAATGTGTATAATTTTGATCCATTTTTCGCACATTTCACGCAATCACAAATAGCATAAACATTTATATTAGCGATGCAGCTGGATAAGTGGGTAGACTCACGTAGTTCGTACGACCTTCATAAAAACTCGTCGATCAGAGATTGCCGGGAATGTTGAGTGAGAACTCGCCGTCTACGGGGTGGCGAATAAAAAAGTAAGCGCCTACCTTAGCAAACGAGACATTGATACTAACTACCATGTTGATTAAATGGTAGTACAATAATGAAAGTAAAAAACGACACTAACTGCGCGAGGAGATGTACTTAATAAACAAATACAACGACATCTCATTGTACAGTTATATTTTGTTATGAAAAAAAAATAAATCTCCATTTATAAATCAAACAGATTAAAGATAATTTATTTATAAACATTGTTTTTTATTTCTATTAAAAAATTGTTCTTCTTCAGACAATGCAATTCGTTAAAAAAAGCAAAAAGAGGAGAAGAAATTTGCAAAAAAAAATTCGAATGGAGACCTTTTTTACAGTTGAATTAATGATTTAAAAAAATGAAATGATTTCTAGAAATGAAAATCGTGCGATTGCATAGAAATTCACTGATATATTAAAGTTCTAGCGATTTTCCGAGGATTCAAGGTTCATGCAAGAGAAAGATAGAGACAAAGAGCAGTCCATAGGTTAAGTCCCCACCTAAGAGACCTCAAGAAAAGATGCTGGCCGCTCTCACGTGGTTAATGCACATAGATACATATATTATCCTGGCGCGCGCACACCTTGGCCTCCCGTGGTTCGGCGGTTAGTGGTTAGTGGGTGCACAGGTTGCCGATGTGCGCACATACCGTGCGTGTTGTCAAGGTATGCCACAGGCCAATCCGGTGCCACGTATACCAATCACTGTTTTCGTTAACCGCTTCCTTACATTTTATCTTTCGAAAGACACGTGAGTTTTCGATGTCTTTTCCGACTATGTGATTGATTTCTTTCGATCAATACATAAATGACCGTTCCTCTGTCTGTTTTGCGTGCTATTGTCTGTGATGCTTCTGGTATCAGTGTAATGTGCGATGACACGCGGGAAAAACCTGGATTATTGAAGAGATTTCACAATGAACAGGATACATTTACAAATCTTTATTGGCGTGACGTTAATCTAAGTGGGAAATCGTTATTAATTCTATTCGATTTCGAAAATGTTAAAACATTTTGCGATAATTTTGCCACGAGTGCAATAGATTCGCTACATTAATATGCATAAGTTTGTCCGATGTGAAATGCTTCAGTTCTAAATAAATAAGAAAGTTTACCCTGGTGAACATTTAGTATCCGGTTGAGCGATCGTGAACATTGTAACGATGAAACATCGATATTTTAGTTCTTGGATACAGCGATATGGAACAGCTTCATTCCAAAGCATACGGATGCCACAGGAGAAAGTGAAACATTCGGAAACGCGAAATAACCAAGCCTTTGTCGATGATTCTGACTTTATGTAACCGTGCTAGTCAGACATTGCACGTGCGGTCGTTAAAGTCTCCACGCCTCTGTTGGTTCTCGCATTGAAGTTTCTCGAGGACGTTTCTCTTTGGAAGTGAACGAGTAATTTAATATCAATGTGAATTAAACAGTTGATTGAATTCCTCCTGCAATAAATATTGAAATTATATTGTAAATGCATTGATAAAACTGTTCGATTGAATATTGTTTTTTTTTTATTCTTTCTCATTTACCACATAATGAAATATAAAAAAAAAAAAAATATATAAAAAAAAGAAAAAATAAAACAATAAAATAATCCAAAATAAAAAATATGATAAGAAAAATATTTAACATTAAGAGACGACTTGAGAAAAGAACGAGAAGGAACAGAGAGGAGGAGCAAAAGATAGAAGAAGTGAAGGTGGAGGAAGAACAAGCAATGAAAACATTTAAACAGAGACCTTCGTATTATTGCTACAGGAGGAGGAGGTCCTGTGCCACGAGAGAGGCGGGAACATGCCTAGCGATTTGAATACCAAATCGCTGCTCTTGTGCAATTCCTTTGCCTTTTTTTTATTCCCTCCCAGTCCCTACGACCTCTTCACATCTACCTGCGTGCTTTGCGTATTTTTAGGCATGACACGCTTTCTTTGTGCCGTCCGAAGCACTGTCGTAAAAAGAGTTCCTTCGAAAAAACTTCGTATGCCAGCAAGATTGACTTTTCCTTTATGGCTGTATGGCATAAAAAAAAATAAATAAATAACAGATTACTTATTTAAATTTAAAAGCAAAATGTGACTAGAATAAAAAAGAGAAGATATTCTTAAAAAATTACTACAATAAATTAATTCATATATTAAACATAAAAAAATACGTGAGAGAAATTCATGTTGCAAAATTTATCAAATAACAATGTAATTAAATGACTAGGGGACAGAGTAACTTGATTTAGCCTCTCCTAGGCTTTGTCTGTATATAAAGAACGGAGACATAGCCTAGAATAGGTTAGGTCAGGGCTCGTTCAACATGATTATCTTCATACTACTTCTTATAACTACTTCTTCTCATCCAAGGTCAAGCTCAAGGTCAATAAGCAATGGAAAATGTCAAAGGAATATTTATAGGTACAATATTTCTTTAAGAATTTATATCTCCTAAATTAATAATTTTGCTTGATCTCTAACTTAATTACTTAAAATTATATAGATTATTGTTTTATTGTACTTACATGTATATTATATGTAAAAAGATACTTAATTATATTTTATCAAGTTAAATTTATATTTTCATATATTTTAATAATCTTCTATATCCACTTTATATATGTATATTTGAAAAGATTATTTATTATTTAAAATTTACCGATAAATACTTTTCTTTAAAATTTACAATCGATAAGGAAGAAAATATTCTTCATACCGACAATAACACTTCTTTATCTTCTACTATTGATAAAGATAGTAGAATAATAAAATAAAGTAATTTTAACTTGGAAGACAATATAAGAAAAATATGTTATTTTATAACATTTTATCCTTCATATCTTATACCAAAAAAATCTTAACGTTTAAAATGATTTAAAAATTACATTCAATTTAATTCGATATAATTTCTGATTCTGAATGTAAATTAACAAAATTAAATTTAAAAAAAATAAGATCTTTCTTTATTACATATAATATTCTTTTATCTATCTATTTGAAGATAAAAATAATTATAGAAATTTAAAAATAAATTATTAAGATATAATTAATTATTAAAATATATTTTTTAAGTTTTTTGAAACATCATATAATTATATTCGAATATTTAATTATTCAATAGAGTGATAATAAATATCATTATAATAAAATTAAATAATTATTATCATTAATTATAATTATAAATGATTTTCGATTTCAAAAATTATTAAGATTTAAAATAATTTTATTATTTTAAAAATAATATTAAAAAAAAAATCTTCTTTAAAATATAAATAGAAGGTATAATATCGATAATAAATTCATTCTTCTTATTTCAAATATATTTTTTACTAACTTAAAAAGCTGAGCGAATACAGAATTTAGATTTCCTTGTTTGACTAATCTTAAATATTTCTGTCATTTGTGGTAGAATTATAGTGGAATAAAAGATATACATACATAGATACATACATAGTATCTGTAGTGTCCAATTCGATTCTCGAATTGCAACTGCTCGCATCGATTTGTCAAATACTTCCTTTATATGTTCTTACTTTACAATTTTAAATGTTTTTATATTGTTTGTCAATATTATAAAATAAAACGTAGAAATTCTTTCAAAATTTGATGTCTTTTTTTATACGGTATACAAGCTGTGTCGGTTCGAGAAATCGAATTCAATTAAAATGACTGAGCTATACATGATTAATAACAATCATAATTATTATGACAGTCAATATTACGAATAATTTACTACATATTGCCATGAAATTTGTAAATTAGCATATCGAATTTTTCTTACAAATTATATACAAGTTGTTGTGAAATGAGTGCTTTAAAACTATTACGAGATAAATATACATTTATATTTAGAAGTTATAATTGCAATCGTTTCAACGATTTTTTTTTATATGTATTGCTGTAATATAAATTAACCAATTCATTATACATATTTTTTATGAAGCATTGAATCACTTTATTTTTTTATATTTTGTTTTTTAAGTCTTCTGAAAAATCTTCAAAAAACCGCAGTTATTGACATGTTTGAAATATCAGAAATATTTTAAAAATTTATTCATATGTTTTTTTTTTTAATCTAAATAATTTTTAAAACAACAATCTAAATATCAAAGTTTTTTATATATAAAAAGTTAAATACTAAATTTGTTCATATTAAGAAAGAAAAGAATTATATATTTCTTATAATAGAAAGCATAGAAAAAAATATTTTTAATATAACTGATCAAATGTAAAGAAGATTTACTTTATTACTCTGTATCTACCTTATAATTAGCAGTCTGTATTAAATCGACTGAATGTTTTATGAGTATTCAAATGAATGTTCTAATGCGCAATATTCTACTATTTTTTCAAATTAATATCTTTTAATGAGCTATTGTATTTAGCAAATAGTATTAGTATAATCCACTTTCTTAAGTACTGATTGTATAACTTGATAAATATCATCTTCCATTTATAATAATAATTAAAATGTTTTATATGATCAACAAATCAATTATGAAAATATTAATGAGTTATGCAAAATAGATATACATTGAAAATGCTATATGTAAACAAAATAATTCGTAATTTAATAAAATAAATATTTTTTTTTTAAAAGAAAAAATAAAAATTGCAAGTGTTTTATTCTGAAATTGAATCATATACTTAAAATATAAAAATATCATGAAAATTTCTTAATAGAAGATGCAACCAGAATTAAGTTTCGAAAAATTAAAATTTTTTTTTTTCTTATCATTAATCAATGTATTTCTGTCTGTTTAATTAATTAAATATTATTTATTTAAAAGTCAAAAAGCAGTCTCTTTTATAAAATCAAATATAAAAAATACGGTGATTATCAACTGATCTTTATTTTTAATTTAAACAGAATAAAACAAAGAAATGTTTATAAAAATGTTTATAAAAAATTTTATTGAGTACAGAACATAATATTATATATTATTGAATATATCTTTGAATTGGATATTAATTTTTTATAATATCAAAAAAATAATATCAAAAAGAAAGGAAAAGAAAAACGTATACGATTATTTGCAATTATTTTTTAAGATAAAAATAATATTTATGTTTAAAATATAACATTGTACTAATTACATATTATTTAATAATTTTTAGAGTATTTTATATGGTAAAATATAATCTTTGAAAATTATATTATCGGATCATCATCATTATCATTTGATCTGTTGATAACCAATCCGTAATCAAAATATTTATTATTGTTGATCAATTATAATTATATTCGCTAAAACAGATTTTCAATTATTGATAACTATTTAGCAGTTTTCTTACGTATATATATATATATATATATATATATATATATA